TGGAGCAGTGAGATCAGTTGATACCTGAATTACATATTTTGAAGTGTGAAATAACAGTATTCCTTTCTCAGTCTTTTTTGCAGGGTCCACCTCCTCATGCCTCTTAACCTAGGACTTTTCTCCTGTGCTCGCTCCCTGGGTGGCCTCATCCCACCTCGGGCCTTTATCTGCAGCTGAGACCTCTCTCCCAAACTCTCTAGACTTTTCTACCCAACTGCCCATCCCACATCTCCACCTGGATGTCTGGAAGACTGCTCAAACCAAGGACGTCCCAGATCACTCTCGCCCTACTCCCCCGCCAAGCCTGCTTGTCCTTTATTCTTCCCATCGCCTCTGATGACAGCTCCCTCAGACTCCCTCCAGCCACCAATGGGAGGCGTCCTTGACTTCTCCTTCTCTCACATCCATGTCCAATCCCTTAGCAAACTGTAGTGTCTGTACACGCGGAAGAGATCTGGAACTTGACTACTCCACAGACTGCTACCCGTATCCCTTCCTTCCCATCCAGGCCACCATCCTTTTGTTCCAAGAGCATTTCAGTAGCCTCCAAAGTGGTCTCTGCTTCCACACTTGCCCCCCCGCCCCCCCCCCCCCCAAACCCATGTCAGTCGATTCTTAACACAGCAGTGAGAATGCATGCTGGGATGAAATTCCAGGTCATTTAGGGTCATAACAACCGAAAGGCCTCGCAAGGTCTGCGCCCCTCAGCAGCCTCTGTTCCATTCCCTTGCTTATTCCACTCTGGCCACCCTGGCCTTGCTGATTGGCCGCCTCTGGTCACGCTCCCTCCCCACATGTGGCCTTTGCCCTGGCTGTTCTTTCTGCCGGGATGTAGGCCCCCAGAGATTTTATGGCTCCTTCCTCTCCCTGCTGGCAGGTTCTTGCTCAGCCCATCACTTCAGCGATACTATGTAAAGTTGTAAACCTTTCCTTTAGTTTTTCTCCTAAGCACATTTTACCTTACAATATACTTTATGCATTTCCTGTTTATTTTCTTTACTGTATGCCTCCGGCACTAGAATGTAAATTACATAGGGGCAGGGATTTATTTCAGTTTTTTAATTGACATAAATACAGTTGACCTTGAACGATGTAGGTTTGAACTGCATGGGTCCACTTACATGTGGATTTTTCCAGTTACTTCACTCTGTTCAATTGACTGCAGTACAAACTACAGTTGTTCTGGGATCAATTGGCAGTTGGGAATCTATGTATGTGGAAGGTCAACCTAAATTATAAGATTTTCAACTGCGCAGGTGATTGGAGATTCTAATCCAGTGATGGCGAACCTTTTGAGCACGGCGTGTCAGCATTTTGAAAAACCCTAACTTAACTCTGGTGCCGTGTCACATATAGAAATTGTTTGATATTTGCAACCATAGTAAAACAAAGACTTATATTTTGGATGTTTATTTTATATATTTAAATGCCATTTAACAAAGAAAAATCAACCAAAAAAATGAGTTTGCGTGTCACCTCTGACACGCGTGTCATAGGTTTGCCATCACTGTCTAATCCCTTCGTTGTTTAAGGTCAGCTGTACTTGTTAAATGAATGGAGATGGATTTGACTACATAATAGCTAAATTCTTTGTATTACAAAATACTGTAGGGCAGGGGCAGGCGGGAGGGGGTCAGTGGGGGGCGGGGGGAAGGGGGACATATGTAATACTTTCAACAATAAAGATTTTTGAAGAAGTCTCTGAGATTCTGCCCAGCTTGGACCACTCCGGGGTGCCATGCTCAGTTCCAGAAATGAGATTTTCAGAGGAACACTGACACAGCAGAGGGGAATGACGAGATGGTGGGAAAATTCAAAAGCTACCCTTGTTGGGAAGAAATCAGGCCAAAAAGGACGAGGCTGAACCAACGAACACATTGGTCAGAGATGCGTGGTTTCTCTTCCTCCGGGACACAGCGAGACCACGTTTTGCAGTTGTCCTGGCAGGTCAGTGTGGCCATAGACTGAGTTCTAGCCAATGGGATGTGGTGGAAGTGATGTAACAGGCCTCCAGGCTCAGCTCCTGAAATTGCCCATGTGCAATCCTCATGCTCTTTTCCCTCCGTGGGGCATGGAAACCGTCTGTTGAAGAAGGCAGAGCCTCAAGATGGAAGGAGCCTGGTCTCTGAATTCCTGCTTGGAGACGAGCCTCCCACCAGTCAGAAACACTGAATTGAACTTTATATGAGCAAGAAACAAACTTGTACTTAGGAAGATTCTCTTTTTAAAAGGCACCCTTGCCAAAGCAACTAGAGTCATTAGCCTGGAGAAAATTCGGAGGTGGAGCGTGATCATGATATTCAACTTCAAATATCTGATGGGCCACCACAAGCTGAAGGATTCATGGATGATACTGCAAGTTTCCTTGGAAGACTATGGAAGGACACTGCGTAACGCGAGACCAATAAAGCACCCAAACCTTCATGCGGAGAAACTTGCGGGAAAACAACCAAGAGAGCAAAGGCGAAGTGCAGACTCCGGTCTCCGTTCCTTGTCCACATGCTGATTTGTGATGGAACTTCGGGGATGTCATTGAACCTCTCTTGGGTCAGAAACTTAAACAGAAAAATTTGGGGGGAAAAAAAGTCTCTGAGATCCAGGTAGTATTAAATAAACTCAATGATTGGGGAAAAAAAAGATTGTATAAGAGAATTTTCTAAAGTTTGTCTTTTACATTTATAATAAAGGATCACCTGGATAATATAGAAAGAGCTCCTAGAAGTTAATAAGCACAAAGCAAACAACCCTATTGAAAACTGGATAAAGGACAGTGAACGTCTTTCCACAGAAGATATACAGAAATGCCAATAAAGATGAAAAGCACTCAGTCTCAGTGAGCAAAGAAATTGAAATTGGAACAGTAGGATGTTTTTTATCCATCAGATTGGCCCAGATTACAACGATTAATAGCATCTGGTGTGATTAAGGCTATAGGAAATTGGATTCTCTCATACACGATTGGTGAAAGTGTGTGTTGGCACAAATTTTGGAGGGTGCTGATGGCAGTACACATTCTTCTTTCAGGAACCCACCTACTTACCTCGCTTATTAAAATATTTGCAGATGTTCACAGAAATGTAACTATAAGGCTATTTATTGTAACACTAGAGGCCCAGTGCACGAAATTTGTGCCCTGGTAGGGTCCCTAGCGGCTGCCTGCTGCTGGCCGGGGCCTCCCTTTCTTCCCGCAGCTGCCTGCCGCTGACCAGCCCCGTCCCCTGGTCGAACTCTTGGACAAACTCCCAGTTGAGGGGACAATTTGCATACTACACTTTTATTATATAGGATTGTTGTTAGAAATAAAGAAGTGGGAAATAATTTAAATTTCCATCATGTCTTTAAAATCGTGTTACAGGTCTATACAAAATTATAGAGCTAGATGGGAAAGAGAACCCAATCCATTACATGGGTTTTTCTATTAGTGAATCGTCCTTCTCAGATCCAACAGAAATCTTCAGAGTCCTCTGGCCCACCTCCATTGGATATAATATTTGAGTTCGGTTAAAAATGTCTTAAAATATGAAAGTAATATATATTCATTCTGGAAAAGATGGAAAATACCAAAAGGTGTAAAGAAGAAATATCACCCAGAATTGTACCATATGACTGCAAGCTGAAACATTAGCCTCTTTCTTTGATTTCTGTGTAATTTTATAGCCTGTTTTCATTTGCAGCATACTTTTATCTTTGAAAACTCTATCAATGTATGCATTTTGTTGACCACATAATATTTTTTTTAAGTGAACTTACCATAACTGAACTCCCTGTTCTTTGATGGATGGCTTCCAGTTTATGTTTTTGTAAATAATGCCAGGTTTTTATTCCTACAACTTTTTATCTATTTTAAATTATTGTCTTAAATAGATTATAGACTTAGATGTTAAAAGTTCTTGATAAATCATGCCCCAAATTTCTTTCTTACGTTCACAATGAAGACGCAGAGCCCAGAGAGACACAGCCCACTGGGGGCAGCAGCTTGGGGCAGGGATCAGGCCTCGGAGCTGTTTTCTGCAGTCTTCTGCCTTTCCTTTGGGAATTTAAGGGGAAGATCAGAGGTTCTTAATTACAGCACTTCCTGCAAGCCTTCCCTACCTAATAATAATTGAGGATCTAAGGCAGTCCCGGACAGTTTTCTGGAAGCTGTGAACCAGGGCAAGTCTGGTGTTTGTGGCATTTCCACTCCTGCTTGTACAGCTGAAGTCACACAAACCCACAGACCATGTCAAAATGTTTACCTTACATAGAACTATTGCTATTTGTGGTTTACTGTGCTACCTTTTAAAATTAATGCATAATCTTGTTATGTGTGATGGGCTGGCTGGGCTCACTGCCTGTGTAGGATTTTCCAGTCATCTCTGCTCCCCCTTTGTGCTACAGTATTTTGGAACTGGCAGTCTGTTTGCCACTCAGTGCCTTACCGTACACACGCAGTCCCCTCTCCTGGGAATGCGTTTCCCGTGCTCACATCCACCCTGCAAGCCCTGGTCATCCTTATAGCAGGGGTGGGGAACCTTTTTTCAGCTAAGGGCCATTTGGATATTTATAACATCATTCACAGGCCATACAAAATTATCAACTTAAAAATTAGCCTGCTATATTTCGTCAGACATTTAATTAACTCACCCCTAATGCCTTGGCAGGGCCAGACCAAATGATTTCGCAGGCCTTATATGGCCTCAGGGCCGGACATTCCCCACCCCTGCTTTAGAGCAATTCCCAGGAGCCTTCCGGCACCCTCCCCGGATGGCTGGCTGGATGGCCCCGCAGCATCCTGACCAGTCAGTCCCTCCACAGCCTCCTGCTAATATGGCACTTGCGTCGCTGGGTATCTTGTGTTTGCTCATAAGTGAGTCTTTATAACTAGACTAAGAGCAACCCTAGGGCCAGGTCTGTGTCTCATCAATTTCTGTATCCTCTGTACCACGTCCAGTTCTTAAAGATATCTGTGGAGTTGTTTCCCGGCTCTCTAACACAGGTGATGTGTTCTGGCTCTGTTTCAGGTGTTTCTGTCCGAGTGGAAGGAACGCAAAGTCGCTCTCTCTCGGCTCACCAGTCTGGAGATGAAAGACGATTTCCTCCACGGACTGCAGATGCTGAAATCTCTGCAGAGCAAACATGTGGTCACGCTGCTTGGCTTCTGTGAAGATGACAACACTATTCTCACCGAGTATCACCCCTTAGGGTCCTTGAGCAGCCTGGAAGCGACACTCAACCTTTCCAAGTACCAAGCCGTGAACACCTGGCAGCAGCGGCTGCAGCTGGCCATGGACTACGTGGGCATCATCCACTACCTGCACCACAGCCCCCTGGGCACGCGGGTCATGTGCGACTCCAACGACCTGCCCAAGACGCTGTCCCAGTACCTGCTGACCAGTAACTTCAGCATCGTGGTGAACGACCTGGACGCGCTGCCCCTGGTGAACCACAGCGCCGGGGCGCTGGTGAAGTGCGGCCACAGGGAGCTTCACGGGGATTTCGTGGCTCCGGAGCAGCTGTGGCCCTATGGAGAGGACGTACCTTTTCGCGACGATCTCATGCCCTCGTACGACGAGAAGATCGACATCTGGAAGATTCCCGACGTCTCCAGTTTCCTTTTGGGGCACGTCGAAGGGAGCGACATGGTCCGATTCCATTTGTTCGATATCCACAAGGCCTGTAAGAGCCAGACTCCTGCAGAGAGGCCCACCGCGCAGGCCATTCTGGACACTTACCAGAAGGTTCTGAATTCACTCAGAGACACCGTGACGTCTCAGACCAGAGAAATGCTATGAAGACTAGTCCGGTCAGTGAGGGGTGCGAGTTAAGGAACAGCAGTTCTGCTCTGACAGTGAGCTTGCTGCTGTTCAGCCAGGTGGCTCCTCCGCTGGACCCACGTGCACATGTGAGTGGCTGCCTCTGCTGGCCACCGGGGCGGAAATTGCTAAGACAGAGCAACCGACGTGATCTAAGTCTGGCTTCACTTCTAACGCTGACTGCTCCCAGGAGAAGATGCAGAGAAGCCGTGAATCTGACCTGTATCTGAAAGAAGTAACTACAGAAAGATGTAGCTGGAAAGAGCCTTTCCCTGACCTAATAACTGAGTTTGTAAGCTTGTAAGAAAGGTAGATAGAGACGATTTTTAAATGGCAGTATATGAAAGAAGCATAGAGTAGTTCTCCAAGGAATTTTCTTTCCTCTGTTTTGGATGGCAATCAACATACCAGGTCCTGGGAGTATCCCTGGTCTGCTTCACTTTGTATGGGTGGGGCCACCCTTACTGTTTTAAGTGATTGCTCTGTGAAGCTCCAGTGCCATCCTCCTTCCTAGGAGCTTAAGGAGAACTACGATGGCATGCTCTTTGAAATTTGTTTTTTAATATATTTTTACTAGAGGCCCGGTGCACGAGTTTGTGTACAGGTGGGATCTTGCCAGCCAGCCCCAAACGGGGTGGGTGCGGCCCACTGGGGGTGGGACCAGGGGGAGGGGTCGAGGGCGGTTGGCTGGTTGGCCCCGCCCCCTGGTCAAACTTCCGGTTGAACGCCCATCGAGGGGACAATTTGCATATTAGCCTTTTATTATATAGGATTGATTTCAAAGAGAGAGAGAGAAACATCAATGGTAAGAGAGTCATTGATCAGCTGCCTCCTGCACGCCCCACACTGGGGAACGAGCCAGCAACCTGGGCATATGCCCTGACCAGTAATTGAGCCATGACCTCCTGGATCATAAGTCGATGCTCAACCACTGAGCCACGCCAGCTGGGCTGAAATTATTAATGAATAAGGAATATTTATAACAACAAGAATGAGGGAAATGACATGTGTTACTGCCTTGGATGGTAGTTGTGATATTCATGTTTTCCTTCCTGCTGGGTTTTCTCTGTCTAAAATTATTGTGAACATTTTACATCAACACTGTCACTCATGACTGGGAAGTGTCAAACCCTTTCACTTGAGTTGTACGATAGAAGCTTCAAAAAGCTCTTTCCTTGATCACCATCATCATTTGCAGAGGATGATGGATTTGGTGCATATTAATCATCCCTAATACGGTGGTTAAAGCTGACATAGAGGGGTGGGATCACTGGAATCACAGGGACCCCAGAGTCTCTGACTCAGAAGGTCTGGTGGGATAGAGTCCAAAACTTTGCATTTCTAACTAGTCCCCAGGGCAGTGACAACCACTGCCCCTAACTGTCAGACAGGGCACCACAGGCACTGATACGGAAGTAGTATCAGTCTTACCCCCTAGTCTACTGCCTGTGGTTGACTGGGCCCTCTGGTTGATCAGAGAATGTGCTTGCCCACAGTATTGTTCTAACTGCTGCTTTTTGTTAGAAAAACTCCACCACAACCCACCAGGAGGGCTGTAATCAAAAGGATGGACAATAACAAGTGTTGGTGAGGATGTGAAGAACTGAAACCCTCAGACATTGCCGGTGGGAATGTAAAATGGTGCAGCCACTTTGGAAAACAGTCTGGCACTTTTCAGAAAGTTCAAAATAGAATTACTGTGACCTAGCAATTCCGCTCCCAAGTATTTACCCAAGTGAACTGAAAACAGATCCACACAAAGAATACCTCACATTCAACATTTCCCAAATAACTCTTCTCTGTGCCAGATTTGCTGCTTGTTTCCTACATCTGTAAGTGGCACACCACCCATCTGATTTTCCAAGGCAAAAACCTAGTTTATATATAATAAAATGCAGCCAGTTTAAGTGTGTATTTCAATGAGTTTTGATGTATTTATCTACTCATGTCACCACCCCTACAGATAAAACATTTCCCTCCTAGAATTTCCCATGTGTCCCCCCCCCCTTCAATCCTTTCCCAACTGCTGGCCTCCGGCAATGACTCTGCTTGCTTTTCAGAAAGATTAGAATTTTCTCCCAAATATCATAATTGGAACCATACAGTGTGGTATAAACATTTTTGTACCTTTTTTATTCATTGCAATGGTTTTGAAATCCATCCATATTGTTTACATCAGTAATTTATATCTTTTTATTGGTAAGTAATATTCCATTATATGTATGTTCATCAGCCATCTGCTGATGGACATGGGGTTGTTTCTAGTTTGGGGCTATTATGAAATAAACTACTGTTACCATTTAAATAGGATTCTTTTGTCTTGGGTAAAAACCTAGGAGTATTCCTATGATCACATTAAGTATATGTTTAACTTCATAAGAAACTTCTAAACTGTTTTTCAAAGCATCTGTACCATGTTCCAATAGCAATGTTCACGAGTTCCCTTTGCTCCACACTCTTAGCCTACACTCGTTATTATCAGCTCATTTAATTTTAGCGATGCTAGTGGGTGTGTAGTGCCATCTCATTGTAGTGTTAATTTGCATTTTCCCAAAGATAAGTGATGCTGAGAACCTTTTTATGTTTATTGGCCATTCACATCTCTGGTGAAGAGTCCAAATCTTTTGCCCATTTTAAAATAATTTGCTTATTATTAAATTGTTAGAGTTCATTGTGTAACCTGGAATTAAGTCTGTTACTAGATATATCTTTTGCAAATCTTTTCTCACAGCCAGAGGCTTGCCTTTTCATTTTCTTAACTATGTTTTGTTTAAGTTTGTGTTTTAAAATGGTTTTGCCCTAGCCAGTTTGGCTCAATGGATAGAGAATCTGCCCATGGACCAAAGGGTCCCAGGTTCAATCCCAGTCAAGGGCACATACTTAGGTTGCAGGCTCAATCCCCAGCCCTGGGTGGGAGCAGGAGGCAACCAATTGATGTGTCTCTCTCACATCAATGTTTCTCTTTCTCTGTCTCTCCCTCTCCCTTCCACTGTCTCTAAAAAATCAATGGAAAAAAATATCCTTGGGTGAGGATTAACAAAAAATAAAATAGTTTATATATTATTTAAGAAAGTCATGAAGGTTTTCTCCTTTATTTTCTTCCAGAAGTTTTATAGTTTTAGCTTTTACATTGAGGTCCATATTTCATTTCTAGTTCAGTTGTGTGTATGCTGTGAGGTAAGGGTTAAAGGTCACTTTTCCCTGCACGTAGCATTGTTTATTGAAATGATTGTTTTAGCATCATTTATGTCCCCCATTAAATTGCTTTGGTAACTTGGTGAAAAACCAGTTCTGTGTGTTTACTTTTAGGCTCTCTCTATCTTGTTCTGTTGATCTATATTACTACCTTATGCTGATAACACACTATCTTGATTACTATAGCTTTATAGTAAATCTTGAACTCAGTGCAAGACCTACAATTCTGTTGTTCTTTTTCAAAATGATTTAACATTTCCATATAAATTTTAGAATCAGTTGTCAATTTCTACACACACACACACACACACACATACACACAAGAAGTAACCTACTGGGATTTTTTTTTTTTTTTTGGATTGCACTCTATATAGATCAGTTTGGGGAAAACTGGCATTTTAACAGTAATGGTTCTTCTAATCTATGAACATGGTAGATCTCTCCAACTATTTAGGTCTTCTTTAATTTCTCTCACTCATGTTTTGTAGTTTTTAGTGTTCAGGTCTTATACTTGTTTTGTTAAATTTATTTAAGTATTAATTTTTAAAAATTCTATTGTAAGTGCTATTTTTAAAAAGTCAAGTTCCAATTTTGTTTACATCTTGATATGAAAATACAATTGATTTTTGTATATTGACTTGGAATTCTGTGACCTTGTTAAATTCACTTATAAATTCTGGTAGTTTCGGTGTGTGTGTGTGTGGAAGATTCCTTAAGAGTTTCCGCACATACATGTATTTATACCATATTTGAATAAAGCCAATTTGTATGCTTTTTCCTTTCTTTTCCTTGCCTTCTTGCACTGACCAGGACCCCAGGGTAATGCTGAGTAGAAATGATGTGTGCGATGATCCTTGCCTTGTTCCTGATGGAAGGGGGAAACATTCAGTTTTTTAAGTGTCATGTTAGCTGTAAGTTTAGCGTTTATCTTTCCATTATGTGTCATTACACTTTTATTACATGTGCATTTATCCCTAATCAACATATAGTGTTGTTCTTGGCTTTACACTTTCCATATAAGTTACTACAAAGGCATTTCTGCAACTTGCATTTTCCCCTCTGCCTTGTTTTGAGATTCATCCATTTCAATACATGTAACTCTAGGTCATTAATACTGCTGTATATATACAACTTATCCATTTCCTCTACTGATGAATATTTAGATTATTTACAGGTTTTTGCGATTATAACCCATTCTGCTACAAGTGTTATCGTACATGTCCCTTTATAGGTATGGTAGTTTCTCCAGTCGTATGGCTGCGAGTGCAGCTGCGGGGCCCTCGTGTCTGCTCGCCTTGAACTTCATCAGAGATTGCCAAAGAGCTCTCCACAGGGGTGGTACAAGATGGCTTTTAAGTCTCATCTCTCTCTGGATAGTGAATGCCTTGGTCCTGGGGCTCCGCCTGTCTGGCTTACCATGCCATTTCCAGAACAGTGGACAGAAGACACCAACACCCATTTGTGTGTTGAATAACCAGACGCAGGAATTTAACAGAATGTCTCTCAGGAGGGTGATCAGAGACGGGGATAGTGGCTTGTGGCCTGCGGGAGGCCTCTCTTCTGGATGTTTCTCCGGGAACAAAAAGCAGTGCGCAGCCCTAATGGGTTTGGCTCAGTGGATAGAGCGACGGCCTGCGGACTGAAGGGTCCCAGGTTCGATTCTGGTCAAGGGCATGTACCTTGGTTGTGGGCACATCCCCAGTAGGGGGTGTGCAGGGGGCAGCTGATCGATGTTTCTCTCTCATCGATGTTTCTAACTCTCTATCCCTCTCTCTTCCTCTCTGTAAAAAATCAATAAAATATATTTTTTAAAAAAACACAAAAAACCAGTGCGCCACCTGGAGACAATCCTGGTCCTTTGCTTAGGTCCTTTACAGAGTAAGCTTCCCAGAGCGTGGGCCCAGCGAGGCCCGGCCCCTCAGACCTGCCCACACGGCCGG